CATTTTGGTGAATATGTGGGTTAACTGCACTAATCTATGATTACATGTACTTACTTTAGCTTGTATACCATACATTTGCATGCTTACATACATACATGCATATTTATATTTTGTGCTCAACTTAGCAGAAATTGAATGCGAGCAGCTTTTCAAGCGCAGCTAAGTCAGAACTGTATTATATACACACACATCCATATAAATGAAAGAGTCGTTACCTGAACGTTTTTCATTTTCTATCACACACACACATACATACATACCTGGTTATATGAGTGTAGTTATATGAATGTAGTTATATGTGTGTAGTTGCTTACAAAATACAAATATTTTAAATGAACACAATAACTTGCAGTCTAACAAAAGGAAAAACTGTGCGACTACAAGTAAAATCAGTGGAAAAGTTTTGCGAATATTGCAAGCAGCAGACAGCAGGCAGCAGGCAAGAGTTTGCATGATAATGTTTTGCTATTATTGTCTAATTATCTTGTAGTCATAATTCAGTGGCATACCACAGAAACCGCAATGTACATAATCACATGTAATACATACACACATACATGTGTATATATGTTGGCTAAGGAGAAAAGTTTCCAGTATTACCCATGTTTCTGAGTCTGGTTTAAGAAGCTTTCTTATGATTATTAATATGTTCTCGTCCATAAGCAGATTTAGACACACAACTACACATGCGCATGTATGTATCTTAGATGAGAAATATATAACTAAACTAGAAGAAAACGAAAAAATTGGATATTATTGAGGTTCATATTGCAGAAGTTAGGACTTGAGACTTGCTACTTTATAAAAAAAAAAATTGATTCCTTTATGTTAATTTTCAATTAGGATCTTTTTATCTTATATTATTAATTTTTTTATTTATAATTGACACTTTGCAACCGCTGAAGTGAATGGCAGATAGAATTTTATGAAGAACTTTTATTTCATAAGCTTAATTTCTTATAATTTTTGGATGTTGGTCGGACCAGGACTCAAACCTTGGCGGCCACGATGCGAATTTCATTTAAGTTTCGTTCGTTTTATTTTATAGTAGTTAATTTTTCATGTTAATTTCTTATTTTATTTGGTTTCATGTCATCTAAATTTTTTGAAATATTCTTTTTTTAAATTTTTTATAGACTTTATTTTTCAGTTTAACTTATTTTATTATTTAAGATTATATTTTTTAATTAATGTTTTTTAAGTTTAATTTATTTTTGTTTATTTTATTTTATTCTATCTTTATTTATTTATTTACCTTCATTTTCCTCTATTTTGCTTTTATATTTCGAATCACCTTGATTTATTATATTCTATATTATATGCTTTCCATCTAAATAATTTGTTTTTTGATTTAATTTACTTTAATTCATTTTATTTAAGTCTATTTTACTGTCCTTTTATGGCTTTATCTTTTCTTTATGTTGCTTGTGCCACGCCTAAAAAAAACTAATTACAGCGTCTGTTAGTTATTTATATGTGTACTTGTGTGATTCAAGGAGCATGCACCTGGAGTGTCCGATTCTTCAAATATATGGGTCTATGGTGGCATCACCAAAGACTTTGGCTTTAGGAAATTTTCAACACCCGGCCCAAATTTAGCATCAGAGCCAAATTCTCCAACATATCGCTGATTTGCGCCCACTTTCCGACAAAAGACAGAGATGTTACGATGATGTATTTGTGATCCTGCTTATGAGTGTTGCCTCCACCTCGATGCCAAAATTATACTTGGCGACCTTAATGTCATTTTAGGTAAAGAAGGTATCTTCGATACAACTGTCGTCATATTAGCGTTCAAGATAAAATAAAAATTCCCAAGTCGGTCGACATAGCGAAGGCCCGAAATCTGGTTGTATGTATTACAAGATTCTATGTTGCAATAGACGGCCGTCAAATACACGGCCAATATTTCTGACATGCCAACGCGAAGATCCAATTACGACTCGGAGCACTGTGTGGAAGGAGCAAAAAACTCATGGAGGGTTCGACGTCGAAAAGTTGCAATCACAATAAATAGCCGAATGGCTTTCTACTCGACTTGAACTAGTACTCTCAGAGGGCACTTATCACCAAGATCGCCGTGGATTACGTGTCGAGGTTCTTACGTACAGTAGTGAATGAAACTTTCGGTTTCTGTAAAAGGTAATAGGCTAACTAGTACGTTGAAGATATTGCTGGGAACTAAAGAGGGAAACGAGATGTATTCTGAATTAATCCAACGATATTGATTTCATTAGCGTCAATAACCACGCCACGAGTTTTGCTTTCTCCAGACTGAGTAAGAGATCAAAGCGTATCTGTTTCTTCTGTTATAGCATTCGCAACTCGGCTCCTACATCACTGGTGATGGGCATAACATTAAAATTGTAGATATAATTCTGTATGTATGTATAACCACCAACAACAATATAAGCCTTGAAATCCAAAGCACTGTCACTCTTGTCAACGGGTGCCACTTTAGACTGAGTAGTCAATTGAAAATTTTCTCTTGATAAACATAGACTAAACTCTACACGTCACTTATGAGCTGCACGAGTTATACGACGACAATGGCGTAATTCGGTCAACCAAGACATGGCGGCCATGCTATGCTGGCTAGGTCATGTCGTCCGGATGGAGGAAAACGCTTCAGCTTTGAAGGAAGTTATTACGGTGGAAGTCTTGGAAGAGGAAGACCTTTGCTCCTATGGCTAATTAGCTAATTAGCTAGGTCATGTCGTCCGGATGGAGGAAAACGCTTCAGCTTTGAAGGAAGTTATTACGGTGGAAGTCTAGAAAGAGGAAGACCTTTGCTTCTATGGCTAAATAGCAAAAAGAAGGCAGGAATGACGCTCTAGTGGTAACTCTGCTACTATTTCGCAAACGGTTTCTACGCTAATTAAGATTAAGAAGAAGGAGAGGGTACACATTTTAATTGCGCAAAGTGTTTTCATCTCGAATGTTTTTATACAAAAATGAAATGATCTTACGCCTTCTCTGGAGTTTGATCCTGTAATGAGAATATGGTTCTAAAAAGAATGCGATATTTATTCCTACAGCAGCTTATTGTGTACAGAAATATTAATTCACTTATTCTTCTTTGCAGGTATGAGAATTTATTATACCGCCGTATTTAATTTACACTTACACTTCGTTTTCAAAATATTTCTTCCCACTCTCTAGTGCTTTCCTTTACCACTTTATATTTTTTTCGTTCACTCACTGTTAGCCGACCGAACTTAAGAGCAGTTGAGTGACGTTTGAGCTGCGCGATTATCTTTCTGCGGCTCATCAAGTCCATCAGTAGGTTTTTAATTAAAACTCCATTCGTTGTTGCCACCGTTTCCATCGTTTCTGCTGCAATTACTCTGGTGCTGGTAATTATTATGTTGTCGTGGTGTAGGGCTGGCAACATGTTTCAACCGCAACGGACACTTAAAGCCTGACTGATGTGCACGCAGAAAATTTATACTGTGTATGTATGTATGTACATACACTAGCAAATGGAGTAAAGGATTAATGTTGTGTATTGACAGTTGGTAGATTAAATAATCTTTTTGTTTGGTACAAACTCGAGGTGTACTTACATATATAATGTGTTACTTCCAGACACCAACTTTTTGCTGTTGTTGGTTAATTAATTTAGTAAAATTTTCAAAATTTCTTTTATATTTTGAGTTAAAGAATTTCGCTAGCACGTGAAAAATATTTTCATATTGGAAAGTCAGGAGGAGTATATCCTCTAAATACCTGAAAGTATTCGTGAAAACGTAAAGTCCAATATCTCCGAGACCTGCTCAGAGGGAAATAGATCATTGGCACCTCAGAATAATATAAAAATATGTGTTCGTAAAGGCGGAGACTAGTACCTCACAATATCTTCCCAGAGGGGAGTAGCCTCTCACCGCCTTTCAATAAATGATCTAATTATCTACAAGAGTAGATCCTTATCTTTATCTGATATAAACATTGAGAGGAGCAACTCACATATTGGCGCAAAAGCTTTCTGTCCGTTCAGCGCTCGACATCAAACACCCATTTTCTTCGTTTGATGGCAGGCTTTTTACATAACTTTTCTAGGCGTTGTAGCTAATTTTGTCCATTGTCACATACGCTTTTATTTATTACTGTTTCATCTTTCATATGTCAATGGGCTTGTACATATATTTATATATTTGCAGTTGCTACTGTGTGATATGTGTGTATTATTGTCACGGCAAGGAGTTGATGAGATATGATATCGTGATATGACATTGATGCGCTGATGTGTTGATATGAAGAGACGCTATGATGTGATATGACGATCTAATATGATGATGTGACATGACGATGTGATATAATTACTTCTTGTTAGTTTTGCTTAGCATTTCTTTAGATTTACAAAAAGAAGTCTGAGTGTTTAAATAAGTTTTGAGATTAAACTTCTTACTTATCTTACGTACATGAAGATCAGTAAGTTTCTGAAAATTGTTTGTTTTTCGATATTTGCGGATTGGTTCATCATGAACTCGTTCCAACAGGACATACGATCAATAAAAAGTATTACTTTAATGTTTTGAGGATTTTGTGCGAAGACATCCACCTACAACGATAATGTGAAAAATTCTCTAATCTCCAAAACTTATCGATCGATTGACTTGAAAGTGGACGGGAGACTGTCCCATTGAAAAATATCCCACCACCCTTACTTCCGGGAAGTCGACCAAGGACTGAATTATAGAAAAAACATATATTTATCTTTTGATTTACTTGAAATTCGGTACACAGGTGGCTTTTTGCTTAGATGAATGGGGAAACTACTCTTCTCTCCGGGAAGTGGACCAATGCCAATGGCAAAACCAAAAATGTTGCATCCCCAGAAGTTTTGAGTAATTAAAGGCATGAGGAGTATGTATGTGCGACAGCGAAGCGTTGCAGGGTACATTTATTTTAGTTTTGGGCAGTCTCTAAACAAATGTTTCTAAAGAAAGAGATATGTGCAAGCAATTAATTGTATAAGGTACCGTGCCGATATACAATATATGTATATATTCTCAGTTTATGAACTCCAATCTTTGTTCTGGAAAAATTCTAGGACAAAGTCGCGCCAGTTTAGTGTTGGACTCGAAATAATAATATACCAGTTCTAAAAATAGTATAAAAAAGCTGAATATCATAGCCGAGCAGAGTAGTAATAAGGCTGGCAAAAAATGTTGCAAATCCACTTCGACCTCGCGATTTTGGCTTAAACTGCAATCCATACGTGGCAATTGCCATTGATTATCATTATGTTGTAATATTGATGTTGTACGGAATTTGATAATTGACGTTGTAACGTACTCTCTAAATGGTGAACCCTTTGTAATGCCCATACCAATACGGTAAGGTGCAATAAATGGAACATCTTGCAATTCGCAGAATTCCTTTTCGCTTAACAAACCTGAAAGGGAATTCAAAAATTTGTTTATTTTTATATTCAGTTTTTTCTTTACACTTTTAAATATCAAACTTACTTTTCAGTAAAATATACATGCGATTGGCGGATACATGAAAGGCAAATCCACCCTTCTTAATTCGCTCAGCGCCCTCTTCAATTGACAGTATATGCTTTTCACGATTTTTACAAATTCGCTCTTTGTAGATCGCCATTCCCAGTGGTACCATTGTGTTTTCAAAGGACTCAGTATTGTATGGTATATTCTCCATGCCGATTTCCAGACTACTATTATACAAAGCGTCCAAAGTGGTAATCGAACGTGGTGCTACGGCCAACAGCGAGCCTACAATGAAGGCGCCATAAAATTGTTGCAACAACAAACTAAAGACGCAGACCGTAAAAACGAGCATGCGAGTTGATGTCGCGGTGAATGCATTCGTTTCCGGTCCTTGTTCGAAGAATGCCTCCAAAATAGACAAAATTGCATAATCGAGACGATATTGGAAATGCGGATCTTTATTAAGTAGAAATTGATGTTCGTGACGCAATAACAAAAACAACAACGATATAGCCAATACAATAACAGCGACTGTAGTGTACCAAACCTCATCGGCAAAGGGTTCAAAGAAAATATTGCGTATACTATTGCGACGCGGATGGCGAAATATGAAGAATACGCTGTAAATGAATCGAATTTTCGAAGTTTAATAAAATCATACAGTTGTTTTTCGAATGGTAAACTTACAATTCTGTGTGCACAGCAATGCTGTAATCCATTAAGTGTATACGATTCAGAACGAAACGCATTGGACACAGGGAAAACTCTGCTCGGCCAGATAATATTAAGGCCATTACACCATCCCAACTACCATTGGAAAGTTGTGCACCCCAAGTGGGACGGCTTATAGCCTCGAAACTGTAATTAAAAATTGTTAGCGAAGAAATCACCAGAAGCTATAGATAGATGTGACATGACATAAATATTATAAAAAAAAGAAGAAATTAAATAATAATAATAATAAAACTCGGAAGATCTTACAAAAGCGTCACGTGGATTGTGAAGCTTCAGATGTAAAACGAAAATATTTAGATTAGGTTTTCCATTTCAACGCAGCGGTGGTGGCTTAAAAACTTAAAGAAATTTTCAAAAATCTTAACAATAATATTCCAATTACTCGTGTGCATCAGATATTCATCGTATATATTAAGTCAACGCAAAAAAGTAGCATCCTAATGTAGGTGACAGTGAACTTTGTTGTGAAATAAATAAGATCATCGAGCTCTCGGTCACATATAATTTTTATATAGACGGTTCAACTAGTCTGTAGCGAAAATTTGGCAATTATTTATATGGTGGGGTATTTATAATCTTAGAAGTTAAGAAATATGCAGTTATTTTTCTTTTACTACTAGATGTGATAAAACCCAGACGTTATGTTGTCCACTGAAATGCTGACAGTAGTCTGGTGCAGTGTAAAGAAATTTCTTTGAAAAATATTGTAAATATGAGCTTCAGACATAAACAAACAACATGAAGAAGTGGCGAGTTTGCTGAAATGGATGACAAAATATTTTCGTTTTTTTGAGGTTGCGGAATTGCAAATTCCCCTAAGCGGGGTCGCATTACAGCACTAAGCAAAGAATTCGCAAACATCAATTGCATTGAGGTAATTTTAGTGTCAGCCAGAACTGAGTGAAATTTTTTGAAAAAATATTTGGAATAGGGCATCTAAAGCAATGTGGCAAGAGACTTTCATGGAATATAGAGCCATTGCACCTTTGAGCGAAATAAATTTACAAAAGATGAAAAAAAAGAAAAATTTACATGAAAAAAATCTGAAAATATTCAGGAAGAAAAATATCCAAACACGCAGTGATTGACCTTTTTTGCAGCAATGGAAGTGGCCCTAAAAGGCTAAAAAACTATGCACATCTTTCTATAAATTTTTGGCTGTTTTACAAATCGGCAAGCTCCATATAAAAAATATGGTATTTGAAAAAATCTGTTTCTCAAATCTTCAAAAAAAAAATTCTTTTTTAATTTACATAAAAAAATACTTTCTTGGCGAGTACTATTTTGTAAGTCTCCAAATGTTAACCACTTATAGAGCCGATGAACCTTAAAGCAACTTGATTAGTAATAAGAAGATTCTTCTACTCAGATTTTTTTGCAAATCAGGTGGAAGATTAAGAGGTTATATCTACTTGTCATTTTCAAAAAATTTATTTTCTTTTAATTTTTCACAATGGGTCTAAGTCAGGCCTAAGTGAATCCAGTCTGTTAGATCGGAGGCCACCGCAACCTAGCCTAACTTAGTGATCGAATGAATACAACTTTTGTCAATAATTTCGATTTTTTAAATCACATTGAAGTGTAGAATTTCTCACAAAAAATGAGAACGGTCTGAAAGTCCAAGCTTTGCTTAGCGTGGAAGCTTTGAACTGTACTTAAATAAGTTTAGTTCTTTTTCCCACGATAGTCCCATTGTAGATGCAGAAGAAGTTGCTTACTGTCAACTTGCTAAAACAGTTAGCCCTGCAACTGGGGATTAAGTCGCTTGAGTTGACCAAGCATCTTAATCTTAATACATTTAACACTACACCGACTTCCATAAGCTTTTTCTACTGAAAGCCACTAAAGTCGACACATGGCAAATTGTCAGCTTCTAGGTTTCCTTGCTCATAGAATAGGATTATCAAGGTAAGCTTGGTTTTGTTTCTAGACAGTGCACATTTCTTTTTAATTAAGGACTCATTCTAAAGCAACACCGGTTGTACAGAGAAATTCTGCATTGCATTTCTTCAAGTCAAACAGCGTAGATAACTGTTGCTGCTGCCATCTAAACTACCGGCAGTGGACATGACACACATAAAGAAAACTAATTACCTTAGGGCAAACATTGGTTCCATTAGCTTCATTAATTGATAGGTTTTTCTCTGCATTGGATCCAGTTTTTTGTGATCCATAGAGCTGAGGTACTGTAACTCATCCATATCTTCGGGTCTTTCACGCACCTAGCAAAATAGAGTCACTTAAATCATCTATAAATATATACAATTATTTTACATACAATATATATATGTTTTCATTTAAGTACATATGAATATAAGCAGCTGTAATTTTTTTCAAAGAATTTATTGAGAATAAAATTTAAATAATACTTAAACACACCACTATGCCAGCACTTAGTGTCAGGCCTTTGAAATTACGTCGTCGGCTAACGTAGCTTTGCAGGTATTTCTGCTCAATTTGAAGACCATCACTGAGGCTCCAGTTACCTTTAGCCTCGATTTCTAGCCAATCACGCTGTATTTTGTAGATATCAAACAGTTGAATCGTATTGCTTAAATGGTAAAAAATAAATACTTGGTTGTAGTAATAAACAGATTAGTTACATTTAAGAACGATTCCTTAGGAGGGCAATAATACTCGACTACTTTGTTCATATGAAAAAAAAACACAAATCTCGACTTCGGTATAAGAATACCGCCGTGAGTCCATACCAGCGAATATAGGGTTTACCTATGTTGACAGATTATATTTAATAGAATTGACACTTCTTAGCCACTGAAGCGATTCGCACCGAGCCGAACTGCTGACGGTTTCTTATATGGAGCTTTATTTCATTTCAGAAATACACACGGAGGGGTTGATATTCCCTGCCCAGGGGCGGCCCCAATTAGAAAATTTGACTTAATTTTTTATTTAAATTATTTTCTTATTCTGTTGGTCGCACGGAGATTTGAAACCGAGCCTTCCGAATGGCAGTACGCAATGCTTACCCCTTCGCTACCGCGGCCGCGTGTTTGCATAAACAATTTCTACTCACTTGTCGTCCACTCGTACGCCTAGCGTAATGTCCGCACTGATGTTTAATGGCAACGGTGTCAGCACGCGTCTTGCATTCATTAGCGCTGCTTCAACACTACGCTGTTTGGACATCATGAACCATACTTGAGAATTGTTGAAACGTACACCAGCATGCAGTCTATACCCCTCAGCGTCAATGATATCAACACTAATAGCATTTGTGCCTAAAACATGCTCTTGCAACAACACATCCTCCAACTGTGTCAAATAGATGCCAACGCGTGGTGATTCGTGATAGAAAAGCTTTTGAAACTGTATATAGTTTTTAGACCGTTTCGTTTGATGGACATCGTAAAAGTGAAGCATTGCCATATTAGCCAAAGTGCGTAATGCACTATCTTTGTGCAAATATTCTCGCTGCAGTGATTGCAGCATTTCACTGTTGTAGGTGATAACTGCATGCTGCAGATTTTGTTGTTTTAAAATTGCAGTAAAAGCGTGAAATTCATACGGGTTAGCGGCAGCTTCAGTGGAAACATTGCACGTAAAAGAAAATAGTATTAAAGTTGCAGCAATGCATAATCGCACACGCAGAGACACCGTCACGAAAGCTAGCCGCTTAGCGGCAGTTGCACCAAATGGGGCAGACATCAAACTGAATTTCTATTGCCGAGTTTGTGGCAAGTGAACAGCGAAAATTGACGCTTTTATATCATTAGCACAATAATTGATGGTTAGGCAATTTGTGTGAAGGTGTCACGAGAGGGGAAGACGAGGTGAGCGCAATTGGGGTGTTTATTAAATATTTACATATTAAGAAGGAAAAATAAAGAGAAATAATTTGAAATTCTTATAACAATATTTCAGTCTAACAAATATCGAACATTTTACAATAAAATTTGCATTGAAAAAACGAAGAAGCTCTCACTGAGAAAAATAATAAAAAACATAAGTTGAAAGCAGAAAAGCTTATTATATGAATAACAAGTTTCTCTTTGAATGATCATCGATAACTATTAGATCCTTTCATGGATGGACGTGCACTACATATATGAGATAAGGTACTACTTAGCTTACATAAACTATTTCAAACACTATACATTAGAGCTTTTTCTTCTTATTTTTTTTTTAATTACCAGCGAATACTACTCTAAGGCATTTCTCCTTTTCGCCATTTGGTGTAAATTGGAGGCAGCTAGTGCGGCCAGGTCCTTCTCTACCCGATCCTTGCCGCAGAGTATTTATATGTCTTCCTCCGGCGGCAATTGTATCAAATACTTTAAGGCTGGAGTCCTTTCATCCATTCGGACAATATTACCTGGATAGCGTATTAATTGTCTCTTGGTTCGCCAAACTATGACAACGTTTACGGTATTTGCTATTATCAATGCTCTTTCCTTGGAAAACTTCTAGGGTTTTATTCGCCTGCAGCAAGAATAGATTAATTTTCAATTGGCTACTAAGTCTAAAGTAGCACTAACTGGTAATGATTATTTTTTTATTTTTAATGACGCACTCAGCGTTGCCCACCAACTGCCCAACCGACCGATGGGCGCGTCTGAGTGATAATCCAACAAACCGGTGACCGAAAACCAGCAAGAATCCGTACTGCCCGAAATCCAAAACCGATCGTAGAAGGTCGCATTTATACTTGCCTCTTACACTAAACAGCTACAGATTTGTTCATCAGCTGCTATAGAATTGCATGGGGAAAAGAAGAGGGAATCTACTTATTTATTTAAAGCACTCAGTAATGGGTTTTGATATAGCACAGCGTGTCAGAGGAATCAATGTTGGGGAAATGTAAATTAAATCGTTAAACAAAAATCTAAAATTCGAACTTTGCTCGGCATGAGCCCAATGAAATAGGCCTAAAGTGTCTAGATGATCTTAAAGTGGTGGTTAAGTTAAGCTCGCTTAGTGGGAATGGGCTATTGATAACACCTTTTACCAATTTAGTTAAAAATAAAGCTACAAGCATGTTTCTACGACTATAGAGTGCAGGCAGATTAATGAGCCGTAAAAGACTTCAGTAATAAGGTAGGTTTTTGTTCGCATCCCAGTTTAAATTTCTAAACGCGAATATCAGGAATTGCTTTCGTACAAATTTTACAAAACAAATGACCCGATCCGTTCTTAAAGTGCTTTATGGTTCAATAAAGAATTGAACAGCTTGAAGAATAAGAGGAAAAAATTATCCAAATTCTATAAAAAGTACGGCAACATTTCTAGTTTTCGTGCTTACTCCGTACTTAGAAAAAAGTGTAATATATTGAAGTAATTGATCTATTCTAGGTTTGTTCCCAAAAAGCAGAAATTATCTATGACTTCAATATTTTTAACTGCTTGCGCTGGCATCGGAAAACATGAGGGAATGTTTAGTCCTCGCTTATTCCCATAGGCATTCGATTCGCCTTCCACAGAGCTCAATTGAGAACTCATTCCATCACCACTCCAAGGGTTTGCACTCTGTTCGAAACTAGTCGTGAGGAAAATTTTGCTTCTATTCAAACTACAATAATGAATTGTGCCAAATTTTCAAATTCAAAATTTCATATTTCTACGTGGGTGTAATATTTCAACTTACAGAAATCTGGGAAATATCTGGTCAATATATTTTTTATTTAATTTTAACAATCAGATAACTTTATAATTTACATAAATTTATTGCTCATATTCTTTTTTTTTTGAAATACTCTGTTAAGAATTTTTCCCCCAGTGTATACAAACTTCTTGTTCTTGTTTCAGTTTATTGTTAAAATATTTGTTATTGGTAAACTACTCTAATTATTGCAACACCTGAAGATCAAAATACCTTCACTTAGCATCAAACATCATACACCATACATACATACATACGAGGCATGCTCAAAAATAACACGAACTTTCAGTCTCTGAGATTTGCTTTGTGTTTTCCAGCAATGCGCTTTTAGTGCCGTTTACAGCTTTTAAGAGTTATTCTTATTTCTGGAGATAAGAAAAGTCACCCGTAGCCATGTCTGGTGAATAAATAATGAGACAGGAATATTAGTTTTGGCTTCAAATATGCTTGAACAAACAATGATGTGTGGGCTACATTTTTCAAAAATTTTGGAACAAATTTTGCTGTCGCGTATACATTTGGGAATATATTATGACATGATCCAGTTGATATGCTATTATCATCAGCAGCTACTCTGATTGCGATTCGGTGATGGTTCAAAATTATTTCTTTCACTTCTTCTCCGTTTTCATCGATTGTTGTTGATATGCTGCGGCGTGCATGGCTCGAGAGCTTTCGTCATATTTAACGTCTTCACAGCCTTCTTATTGACGCTTATACAACGCGCAAACTATTGTTTCACTCATATCACGCTTAGCAGAGGCCTTTGTTAACATTTCACACACTTTGATGTACTTTATACAATATTTCACACAAAATTCGAAAAAAGCTCTAAGATCCATTTCATAGAAACTCGCCTAACCTTAGTGACTGTCACAGGCAAAGTCTGAACATTTTGTCCTACTTCAGGGGCAATAGCTGATGGACATTTGGATTTCCCAATTGCGTGAAATTTTAAAATTATCGTTTTTTATTTCAACACACCTCGTACGTACCATAAACACAAATGCACCTTAATTATCGCATTAACGATAATCAGCGTCAATTTGTCACAGGTGTTACTGTAGTTAACCATTTAGGTTTTTATAAGCGTTTAAGTGCATTGTTGTTGGCTTTAGAATTGCATGCGCAACTGTTGCGACAAGTCTTTGCAAAAACCATAATTGTCGCTATTATTGTCAATGTCATCATCAACTTGATTTCTCTTACGCCACACGGTGGGTGTTAAGAGGGGGATCTATTAAATTCATATAAATGTTAATGAATGGCTGCTGTCGTATTCAGTAATGTCAAAGCTGAGGTATCTAGTTTAAATGATAGTTTCATGCCATGTTTGTGGTTAAAGTTTTTTATAAGGCCTGGTAGATGTAAGATTTTAACACAAAGTCATAATAATATATATAATAGGCATTTTGTTACGGTTAAAGCGATAGGGGAGTGCTTAACTATGAGTATAGTCATTTTAGAGGCCGAGATATGGATACTGCTTCGGCCAACATCCAAAGTTATAGAAATTAATTTTTTTTAATTGCAGTCACACCTCGACAGGGAATGTCAAGCTTTCCGAGGTGGAGAAAATGGAGGAAATTATAATGTATTCTAAGCCACCTCGTCTTGTCTATTGGAAAAACATCAAATTGCACACCGTAAATTGTAGAATGACCTCGGCTAAAATCAGCTGGTAATAATTAGTTAGCACTTAGAAACTGTAGCCGAGATTATCCTCTTACTTCAGAACTGTCTAAACTTTTGTAGTCCTTTGTAATTAACTTTAAAGTTGAACTAGGAGGCAGGTCCTTCTGAAGTGCAAATATAAAAGCCATTCAGATTTCAGTGCGGGTAGGGCTCTAAGCCATTATTTTGCGGCTCATCTAAACACAAACTGTGGATTACATGCAAACGGTTACGTGTTAAGGCCTTTGAGTTTTATCACCAACTAGCTTAAGGCAGTAATCAGTCTAAGAAAGCATATAATATCTAAACAAATCTCTCGTTATTAAATTTAAGGTAAAATGATGGGAAATAATATTTCGAGGGCTTAATGTAATCAAATTATAAATAAAAAATCTTTTTACAAAATATGAGATATCTCAAAAAATGAGGTTTTACCTCCAAACAGACTGGCCTGACTATCTGAACTCAGCACATCGTTTTGGCTGATCTGAATTAATTCTAGAGGGTTTTTTTTTTATTTATCCTTCTGGGACTTATATACATCGAACCAAAGTCATAAAAAACCCTGGCACGAATATATAGAGAGTATACCAGACGCCCCCTATCTACGGACATGTAACATCGAGTAAATTGAAAAGTCCGTAAGGATAGAAAATTAAACTTTTCGGTGCGGATCTAAACAAAGCATAGCTTTCATAATAAAAAATTCACTCTTGTGTTATAAGCCGATTCTCTTTGATTTACATATAAGAATTCTCAGCGTATGAATTAAAAGCTCGTCATTGCGTATGAGCAACATTTAATCAACAGAGCAAAAGTGTACGTCGGTGGACTAATTAAATCGCAATTATTAAAA